AAAAAAAACTTACTTGCATCAAGTAAATAATTTTGAAGAACTTCATGTTCGATTTAAGTAGAAAAATTCTTAACCTAAGAATTTTTTTTTGGTTTAAGTAAATTTAACTTGATTCAAGTTTATTATTTTTTTTTTTCACAATACTGTAATCTTAGAAAAGAAAAAAAGCGAGTAAGATCTATCAATTGTATAAGCTTAATTAATTTTGTCAATTGATTTTCAGATTTGAAGAACAACTATAAAAATATCTATTTTGATAAAACGGAGCACTTAGATGGTCATAAAATAAAATTAATGGTCCCTGTCATTGAAAAAAATTTACCTAAACAATCCAAGCAAAGACGTATTATTGAGTACATGAAAAATGTTAAAAAGTTCAAAGACTGCCTATTGTATTCATTACCTGATTATATGAAAGTAACAGCTTCACTTCAAATTCTCGAAATAAATTACTATTTAAAAACAATAAAACACGGTTACGAAGAAAGACTTTCCAGTGGTCAGTATGATGCGCAAAACGCCATGAACCAATTAGCTGATACAAATTTAAAAGAAATTGATTTTGTGAAAGAGTATCATGAAATGCACTATTCAATTTTGACAAAGAAAACAGATTATTTAACAGCAATCACCGAAATCCACATAAATCTTCAGTTTATCTTCATGACACTCTGTGTGTTGTTCTTGATTACAGTAATCATAATCATGAACAATAAATTTAACGTTTTCGAAGGGATCATGGACATTGTAAGCATGTCACTGAGTATGGGGATAATATCTCCAATGGGACGTCTCTCGATGAAGATCATTTATTTTTTCGGTTTTTTATTTATTTTTGTGGTGATGCCCGAATTCCAAGGACAAATCTCGGCCATTCTATCTCAACCTGCAAGACGCAATGTCGAAACCCTACAGGACTTATTTGACAACAAGTACCATGTATTTTATAATGGCTTATTACAAAATGACATGATTAATAAACAATTGTGGGTGACCGAAGAGGACCAGAAATACTTGCATCCATCGGATCGTCGTCATCTGAAAAACTGTGCTAAAGAAGCTCAACAGAATTCGACGATCGCTTGTATTGACTTCACTTTAAACCAATTTCTCAACGTCTTAAACCTTCAAAATCTTTGTGTATCAAAGGAAATCACGTTCAAGAAATATTATGTATTTTGGACAAGGAAGAACTGGGCGCTGAAGGACAAAATTGATAAAGTTCGTTCAATACCGGTGGAAACAGGATTAATTTACCATTATAGTGAAGAGATAGAGAAAAAACAATGGAAAAAGATAGAGAAAATAGAGAAAATTAAAGAAGCTGAAAATTATGAACGGACCGACTTTGATAACTTGGTCTTTTATGTAATTGTATTTGGAGCTAGTTTGCTGTGGAGCTTGGTCATTTTTGGAATTGAACTTATGGTCTACCGCATTCACTGTAAATATCAAAGACGGGAAAAGGAGCGACGACAGTTCATTGAGAGATTGAGAGCACAACCACGGATTATTTTACCCCGGGTTGAATAGTTCTGTTAAACACTCACGAGTGATTCAAATAGAGGAATAGTCAGCCATTGAATTAGTAGATAAGTTTCGTTTTGCGATTTTAATACAGATTATTGTAATTGATCTGTGAGTATTTTTGTCTTTAGCGTGTGATTTTATATTTTCTACACAGAAATAACAGATTTCATGCCCTGAGTATTTTTTTTTCGGCTCAAAAAAATGTTGTGCTTTTTGGATTGGAATCAGAAATTTTATCGGGACAAGAAAATAATTTTTGAGAATTTTATTACTTAGTCTTGAAATTTTCAATTAATACGCCAATAAAATTTCATACTGTCCTTGAGATAATTTTATACCATCTTAATAAAATAGTTTATTATACTAAGAGATGTTTTTCGTCCGTTAAGATTCTTATATGTTAGCTAAAATAACTATTTAATTTCGAGCTATAATTATTTCTGTTCTAAGAAAATAGAAGTACGTTACAGGGAAAGCGCTAGAAATTTTCTTGGCTCAAGTAAGTACCTAGTACGCCTAAGCAGCGCCTAGTTAACCATAGATGTATTTTAAATTGAAATATATAGATGTATTATTTTTTATGGAAATGACGTTCAGTTTAAAAGAGTTAATGTGTAAAGACTGTGAATTAGTTAGCATTTTAAGTCAAGTTTTAATGTACGCTATTTAATAGTAATAAAGAAATCGATTGTTAAATATTTTAATACAAATATTTTACAATATTCGAATTATTTTGAAAATTTTTGTTCAAAAGTTTCAAAGTAAAGTGCAGCCTAATAATTTCTTTTTTGACGTGATAACGTCTTATTAATTGATGAATACCAGCAACACACATGAAAAATAGTAACGTTCCGCGTAACGTTCCACCTAAGCCTGTGCGTGCAAGCGAGAGCGCGCAACAAGCGATAGAGTTGCCTAAGCGTTGGCTTGTGACACACATATCTCTCTTCTCTCGCGTGACGTCAGAGCTAGCAGTTCGAATATTGTTCTTTAACTAATTGTTCGTGAATATTTAAACAAATTACTTAAATTAAATTTTATAACCAGTTTTAAAAATATTTATGTCAAATTATATCAAATTATTATTATTGATAATGATAATATCAATAATTAATATTAATTATGAATAAATAAATTAATAAAATAATAATAAAAAATAATTAAATAATTAATATTAATTATAAATAATAATAATTATATCAATTATCAAATTATTATATCAATTTTTAATTATCAATGTATTAATAGTATTAAAGTACTTATTCTTTGTTAAAATAATTTTTAAATATTTAAAATTTTTCAATTTTCAATTACAAAACAATGATAATTCAGTGATAATAATTCAATTAAATTTATAAAAGTATGCATTTTTTCATCAATGTTTCTTTATGACGTTATCACGTAAAACTATCGTCCGTAAACTGACTTTACAGACAACCAATTTTTTTTTTTTTTTAATTTAATAAATTAAGCTCGAAAAGCTCAAGAATCAATCAACTAGAAAACTAGGAGCGTCTTTCGAAAAAAGCGGAAAATTTTAAGAAAGAGCGAAAGGGTGAACTGTTTTTTTTTTATTTTTTATTTATCTTTTATTTATTTCTTCACCTACTCAATAAATCGACCCGTTGGTTGCACCAAATAAAAATACTTAACGGTTAAGTTTGTAATGTATGTTACTAATTACTTACCGATGAAAGATTACTGAAATGAGAGAGCTAGAGCACAGGTCCCGGGCAATTTTTGGTCGATAGTTTCTACAGCACCAGTAGTTCTTGTGGAGGCCTTAGCCAGTTTTATGGAAGCAACAAAAGTTCCTTTTCCAGAACTAACTAATTGCTGACCTAGTTGACGTGTCTTTTCATAAAGCTCCTCATTAACTTTAACGATGTTTTACCACATTGTAAGCTACAGTTGTCATTAGCAACAATTCGATACACAGTTACACATATTGCAAAGCATTCAGTCAGCAACTTTACTTTGAACTGCTCAGTCGCTAGCTCGTCAGATGAATCGTCGTTACTTTTTTAAATACATCAAGGACCTTTAGAGTTTCAAAACGTTTCCGATCTTTAATTCTGAAGGATTAATTTTCTAAATTAATCATCAACAGACAAATAATGCGGCTTATTAGAATTATTTTATGCTGCGTTTGCGTATTTACTGGTAACTTTTCAAATGGAAGCAGCATTCACAGTTCAGAAATCAAATCACACCTTATCAATCATACGGTAAGTTGATTATTTTGCAAGCCTTGAGCTCAAGCGTGACCAAACTTTTTTTTTTAATTTAAATAATTTTTAATTGTTTTTAAAATAACTTATTTTTCTTGCAGATGGAATTGATTGATAGAAGTTTTGCAAATAATTCTAACCCACTGATAATATCTTCCGACTTAGTTGATGACCAAGTGGCAAGTAGGAGTATTGATAATGGAAGTCCGTTAATTGTCATAAACGGTGATCAGAGACGGAATCCAATCGAAGGGTTTCTTCCCAGCTATCCTACGTACATCCTCAAACTTGAATCTTCGGAGAAACTGGTACCACTCATCATTGGGTTCATGGAGTCAACAATCTGGAATATAAAGTCGCCAATTTTTATTGTTGACATTTCTGAAGGGACGCATGATGTAAACGCTTCTGTGGTTCTCGCATCACTTGCTGGAAGATTCGATATTTTAGTGACATACTATGTGTGTTATGATGACAAAAAAGATTCAACCATGGTCTACACTCTGAACCCTTACACGCAATATGCTCCGTCACCGTGGAATCAAGTTAAATTTGCAAATGACAATGGCAATAATCAAACAAAAATGACACTCTACAGTCTGCAATATCCAAAAGGTAATCATCAAGTCTGATAATATCAATTACGACGCAATTGTATAAGCTAAATTATTTCTTTCAATTGATTTTCAGATTTAAATGACAACAATAAAAATATTTATTTTGATAAAACTGAGCAGTTAGATGGTCATGAAATAAAATTACTGGTCCCTCTCTTTGATCAAAATTTACCTGAAAAGTACAAGCCGTGACATATGATTGAGTACATGAAGGCTGTCAAAAAGATCAAAGACTCCGTATTGTATTCATTACCTGATTATATGAAAGTAACAGCGTCACTTCAAATTCGCGAAATGAATTCCAATTTAAAACAAATAAAATACGGTTTCGATGAAAGACTTTTCAGTGGTCAGTACGATGCGAAAAATACTATGGATCAATTAGCTGATACAAATTATAAATTTTCTGATTTTGTGACGCAGTATCATGAAATTCACTATTCAATCTTAACAAAGAAAACAGATCATTTGACGGCACTTAGCGAAGTCGACATAAATTTTCAGTTTATCTTTATGACGCTTTTGGTGTTGTTCTTGATTACAGTTATCATAATTATGAACAATAAATTTAACGTGATCGAAGGAATCATGGACATTGTGAGCATGTTACTGGGCATGGGGATAATATCTCCAATAGGACGTCTCTCGATGAAGATCATTTATTTTTTCGGTTTTTTATTCATTTTTGTGGTGATGCCCGAATTCCAAGGACAAATCTCGGCCATTCTATCTCAACCTGCAAGACGCAATGTCGAAACCCTACAGGACTTATTTGACAACAAGTACCATGTATTTTATAATGGGTTATTACAAAATGACATGATTAATAAACAATTGTGGGTGACCGAAGAGGACCAGAAATACTTGCATCCATCGGGTTCTCTTGATCTGGAAAAATGTGCTCCAGAAGCCCAACAAAATTCGACCATCGCTTGTATTGACTTGACTTTAAACCAACTTCGCTACGCAATGTACCTTAAAAATCTCTTTGTATCAAAAGAAATCACGTTCAAGAAATATTATGTGTTTTGGACAAAGAAGAACTGGGCGTTGAAGGACAAAGTAGATAAAGTTCGTTCAATACCGATGGAAACAGGATTAAGTTACCATCACCATGATGAGATAATAAAAAAACGATGGAAAAAGATAGAGAAAATAGAGAAAATTAAAGAAGCTGAAAATTATGAACGAATCGACTTTGATAACTTGGTCTTTTATGTAATTGTATTTGCAGCTAGTTTGCTGTGGAGCTTGGTCATTTTTGGAATTGAACTTATGGTCTACCGCATTCACTGTAAATATCAAAGACGGGAAAAGGAGCGACGACAGTTCATTGAGAGATTGAGAGCACAACCACGGATTATTTTACCTCGGATCGAATAGTTCTGTCAAACACTCACGAGTGATTCGCATAAAGGAAAAGTCAACCATCGAATTAGAAGATAAGTTTTGTTTTGCGATTTTAATACCGATAATTGTAATTGATCTGTGAGTATTTTTGTTTTTAGCGTGTGATTTTATATTTTATACACAGAAATAACAGATTTTATGCCCCGAGAGATTTTTTTTTCGACTCAAAAAAATGTTGTGCACTTTAGATTGGGATCAGAAATTTTAATGGGACAAGAAAATAATTTTTGAGAATTTTATTACTTAGTCTTGAAATTTTCAATTAATACGCCAACAAAATTTCATACTGTCCTTGAGATAATTTTATATCACCTTAATAAAATAGTTTATTAAACTAAGAGATATTTTCCGTCCATTAAAGACTATAAAATAACAAGATGTAATGTGTTAAAAGTGTGAATTAGTTTGTATTTTAAATCAAGTCTTAATGTATACTATTTTTTGTAGTATTAAATAAATCGATTGCAAAATATTTTTGAATACTTATTTTAAATTATTTTGAAAATTTTTCTTTAAAAGTTTCGAAGTAAAGTACAGCTTCACTATTTTTTTTTCTTTTTAATTCAATAAATTAAATTTCAATCGCCATTCGGCCGCACCTGATATGGACTATAGATTTTTTTGTTATTACAAAATCATTCTTTAAAAATCATTAAATAAAATTTTTATTACAAAAAAAAATTAATTTTTTTTATTCCTCCAAATTTTATTGCTTTTCTTTTTATTTATTATTAATTTAATTTTTTTTCAATCATCCGCGACAGAAACAAATTAATTATAAATTTAATAAAATTTTTTTATTTTACTAAAATTAATTTTTTTAATTTAAAATTGTTAAAATAAAAATTAAAAATTTTTTGCTACAAAATTAAAAAATTCTCAATTATAATTTGTTATTATTAAATTTAATAATAAATTACAATTAGAATTGAATTTAATACTAGCAATAGTAGTGTTAATAACATCAACATTTTCGTGGCGTAAATTTGTCATCTTTATGGCGACTTTTGGACACAAAAATCGACACATTTATTAGGAAACCAGGATACAAAAAGAAGTAAGAGGTAAGTAATATGCTATATTAATAAATATGCTATATTATAAGTTCACTTAAGTGTTGCAAGTCGGTGACACGCAGCGCCAAGTTTCCGCGCGGAAATTTAAAATTTTAGGCAGCAAAATCGATTTTTTTTATCAATTTTCAATTTTTTAATAAAAATTTGAGGAATATTTATTAAATTTGCAATAAAAAAAGGTTAAATTTTGAATTATAGAAGAAAAAATGAATAATATTGCAAGTTTTGCACTCATATTTAGTAAAAGAAACTGTAAATAGTAATTTGATATTTAAAAAAAAAGATACCAACTAGTTTTAATGCAGTCCTGGTGCGATGAAGACCGAAAACCGTGCCCGTGCGTCAAGTTTGTCCGAACTTTGACGACTTTTGGACACAAAACCTGTGCAAATGATCCGGAGATCAGGAGGTAGTAGGAGCTTGGATGTTATATCCACGGGAAACGCTAGATAGAGTTGTAAGTACGTATTCTGCGCTGGTAACTACAGTAATGACCAATATAGAAAATAAAGGGATTTTATTGTCAATTTTAATATTAATTTAATAAATAAATTAATTAAATAAAGAGGTGGGGGCAAAATGGGGCACGTAAAAAATTTAGTGAAATTTTTTTTTTAATATTTTAAAAAAATTTTTTCACTAAAAAAAATTTTTTTTTAAAGCTTTAAAAATAAATTATAAGAAAAATTTTATTTTATAAAAAATTTGATTAGGGTAAATGCACCAATTATTGACCGATTAAGGTTTTCTTTTTCTGTACTAAGCTATAAAAAATCTATTAACCTACTAAAATCAATTTGTAAAGGATTTTATTAAAGTTAAATACTTAATTAATAATAATTAATAACTATTTATAATAAAAATTAACAAAATTATATTAATTTTGTTATTTGAATCTTGAAATACTAAAATCACCAATTATTGACCGAAGAAACCCAATAAATGACCGACCGTTCTCCAATTAATTGACCACTCAAATAATTATAAGTAATTTTGTAAACTACATGTATGTAATTAAATTTATGAAGTACTTTTCAAGTATTTACGACATCTTTAACAAAACTAAACATACAATATAATTTTAAACCGTACTTTTTTATAAAATAATATAAATAATAGCAATAATTAACAAAAAGTCACATTTCTTTAGGTCACAAATTCATTTTGATGACGATAATTCTTCTGATTAACTTAAAATTTTTTTATTCTTCTCCTTTTTTTCAATTAAAGCTTTTTTACTAACTTGTAACTCTTTTTTATTTTTTTAATTGCTTAACAATTTTTTCTTTTAATAATTCGTTCTTTGATATAACCATTCACTAAAAAAATTAGAACAAAATAAAATTTAATAATCAAAAAAAATTTTAAGTATTATTTTAATTGTAAATATACATTTTATAATGATTATTCTTATATTTACAAAATATTGAATGACTAAAGTACTTTAAACACTTGACAAATTTAATTTTGCGGTTAAGAAGTTAGTATTATAAATATACGATGATTAATTGGATTGTGATAAAATCAAAGGGTCTAATAAATGACCGAATGAATTTTTCACTGGGTAAAGAGCTTCTGACGGATCCAATAGTTGACCGGTCTTAAAATAATATTAAAACATAATTTAACTTTATTTTTTCAAAAAAGTTAGAATCTGATCTTTAATTAACATAATAAAACTAAAATATTTTATATCATGCCGATAAATATCACTAAATTAATAATGAAATGCACTCACTCTCCAATTGTACGCTAGTTATTTTTAACCGCTTTATGGCTGGTTGCGTTGTAAACAAACTCAAAATATTTTTTTAAAGCTATAATCACTGCACAATTAATTGCGTTATTCTTTATTATGATGATTAAATGCCATATATTCTTATTTTAATACTTTAAGAAAAAAAAAAAAA